ATAGAGATTTTTTATTCATTTTTTATTTATTAACCTATATCAACTATATATAATATGATTCAAATTTAAAATTTTTTATTTTTATTAAAAAAAATTTCTTAAAGTATTTTGGTCATTGACTAAATAATAAAAAATCACACAGAAAAGAAGAAGAATAAATAAAAAGAGAAGGTGAATATCAGAGCAAAGGACGGAAAAACCGAAAATGTGAAGAAAGAATGAGGAAGCTTAAACGGCACGTTTTGTACTTCTCTCTCTTTCTTTTCTTTTTTTTTTGAATCACCCTTAAACACCGTCGTTTATCTCTTTTTCTTTTCGCTTTCTCTTCAGTCTCCCCTTCCCCCTCCACTCTCTGAAACTTTCTGTGAAAGAAAGTGAAACCCTAGCTTGTTCGATCGGCGATTCTCAAAATTAAAAGAGCAAGATGACTCAAGATGTCGAGATGAAAGAGCAACCAGCTCCCTCCAATTCTCTTTCCTCCTTTTCTCCTTCCACTCTGCATCGTAAGATCAAGCATCTACATTTGTGTTGGATTCTTCTTCCTTTGTATTCTTTATAATAGTTTCTGAATTTTGAGTTATTGTTAATATTTTCGAATTGGGTATCTGTTAGATTTGAAGGAGATTGCGTCTTTGATTGAGACTGGTGCATATGCACGCGAAGTTAGGCGAATTGTGCGAGCCGTGAGGCTTACTATGGCGATCCGGCGGAAACTGAAGGCACCCGTGCTCTCTGCTTTCCTGAATTTCGCTCTTCCTCCGGGATCTGAGGCGCATAGTAGGCTGTCTTCTTATCTCCCAAAGGTAAAGCTTCAGGCTTTCTGTATTGGGCGATTCGTGTTGAGAAAAGTGATTATTTTGGAAGTGTAAGGTTTTAGCAGTTGTTTTGATGCGTGTTCATCAACTTGGAAACTTGTGTGGATTACATTCTCAAACATTCCATTGCTCAACATTGGTAATAGGACGATGAGCATGATATGGAAGTTGATACTGCTACCTCTTCACTTCAAGCTTCTGCAAAACATCCATTGCCGGAGCTGGAAATCTACTGCTACTTGCTTGTCTTGATATTTCTGATTGATCAAAAGAAGTACGATGAGGTGAGTGAACAAATTGTTTCATCAAGGATCTTTTTCTGTTTCTTTTACATAAGTAACATAAAAATCGTTGTTTTAGGCAAAAGCTTGCTCCTCTGCAAGCATTGCTCGGCTGAAGAACGTGAATAGGAGGACTGTTGATGTTCTAGCTGCTAGGCTTTACTTCTACTACTCTCTCAGCTATGAACTTACTGGTGATCTTGCTGAAATTAGAGGGTAATTTGTATTTCACTATTTTCATTTTCTAAGAAATCCTAGTGTACCGTGTATTGTGTACTTATTCAGAAGTGAAGCACAGTATTAGATTCTA